AGGTGGGGTGTTGTGCAGTGGAAGGTGGGGTGTTATGCAGTAGGAGGTGGGTGTTGTGCAGTGGAAGGTGGGGTGTTGAGCAGTAGAAGGTGGGGTATTGTTCACTGGAAGGTGGGGTGTTATGCAGTGGAAGGTGGGTGTTGTGCAGTGGGAGGTGGGGTGTTGTGTGATGGTTATTGGGGGATTAATTAATGTTGAAATAATCTGTAGCTGAGGCAGGAGGACCAAGTCTGCCCTCAAAGATCCACTTTAGGCTTGAAAATGCTGGCAAGGAAGAGAAGGAAGAGGCACCTGTGCCCCCGGAGACAAGGATATCTTACCTTGGTACAAGACAGCAAATCCCTGGGCCTGATTGATGCGATCAGAGAAGAAATACAAAATGACAAAATCCAGGGAGACATTAAAGGACAAAGGTGGGCGGTTCCGTCCATTGAAGCGGACCAGGACACGGTGGGTGTAGCCGTCCAGCAGCTCCACCATGTCTGCAGAGTCCCTGATGTCAAACAGGGTGAAGTTGAAATGGATTCGAGAGGCTCCTGGAACCCGGATGGTCCAGTAGCAGACCCGCCCAGTGGCATAGGTGTCAGGGAAGTCAGGGGAGTAGACCACGGCTGCCATGGCTGTGTAGTTCCCACCGCAGGCGCCCACGAGAGCTGCGGAAGAGAAGACAGTGGGCCTGAGTCTCAGCCTTGGACTCCTCTCTAATGGGGACACAAACAAACTCTTAGGAAATGTGATCCTGCTAAGGACATTGTTTCCAGCTACAAACCAGGCCATCCTGGGTTTTAGGATCAAATCACAGAATGAATCACTTAAACCCTGAACGAATGACTGTGCAGACTATTTGGTTTCCCCAGGAGACCTTAGACTGGTGCTTGGAGGAGTAGTGCAGCCCAGCCTGGGGTCTGGCTGGAGTCAGACTGTCTGCATTCGGGAGCAGCGGGGCCATGTGATCCCAGGGGCTGCACCTCATTCCCAGGCCTCTCACTTGTTTTCCAGTTTAGGGCCACCACCTGCTGCTGTATCCCATGACACTGAGAGGACATCTGAGATAAAGTGCATGAAAGCCCTGGGACCTCTCGGCCGAGGAGAGGCTTTTGAAGAGGTTACGTCATAAAGGAAAGGCCCCGAGTCTCCTCAGGGTCTCCAGTATCTCAGAGGTGCAGTGCTCGCATGAGAAGTCCACAAGGAGCTCTGGACCGGAAGACCTGCTCTGCAGGGGATGTTCTCCTAGCATGTGTGACCATGAGTTGGATCTCCAAAAGCACCCAAGGGGAAGGAGGGGTAATGGCAGACTCATGGTGCTCTGGATCATCCTTACTGTGCGTCAGCCACGCTTTCTCGGGACTCAGGGTTTTGATTGGCAGGCTTTTAGAAAGGTGACACTTATGTAATTACGATGTTGGAAATGAAAGACTTCAGGAGAGAGCATAGGAACAGGACTGAAGAGAAAGTTGTTATTTTCAGTGCTCAGCTAGAACTCAGGGCCATGAGCATGCCAGGTCAGCACTCTTCCACTGAGCCACGGTTCCAGCAGGATTAGGAAAGTTCTTCTCTAGCTTACAGAAAAACAATAAAAACATGCTGCTTTGCTGGCCCTGGTGCAGGTATGTAGTCCCAACACTGCAGAGGCAGAAGTCCGAGGATGTCAGTTCAAGATTGTGTCTCAAAACCCCAAAGGCTGTCAAGAGGTCAGTGGGAGAGCCTCTGACTACCTCGAGAGTCCCTGGGAAGCTGCTTTTTCTTTCTAGCAATGAGGAGGCTCAAAATCAGAAGCTGAAGTCTCAAGACAACCAAGGAAAGTTAGCAGTAAGCAGCAGGATCACAGAAATGGGCTCATCTGTGTCAGAGTCCAGAGGGAAGAGGTGACCACCACAGGGGCTGCGAAATGGCTGCATGTGAAAAAGTTCCTGGTGACCTGTCAGCCTGGCTTCTCAATGGAGGATGCACGGAGCTGAGATACAGTAGCCTTTGCAGTCACTTGCGAGCTCTTCTGCACAGGCCTCCACGTGCTGGCAGGAGTGACCAGTGTCTAGCAGCCAGCCAAGTTCCCATCTCAAAGGAACCAAAAGTCTCCAGTTGCTGGGGAGGGCTGTTAACCCATTTTTTCCAGGGCCACTGGAGAGAGGCAGATGTGGTTTGACATCTGTGTTTGTGTCTGTGAGAGAGCAGGAGACTGCTTCCTTAGTAACCAGGTAAAGGCCAATCGCTCTGAGAGCTGAAGCAGAAGATGTGGCCCCTGATTGCCTTAAGGTCTCCTTCTTGGGAGAGAACAGGAGTCTCTTTCCCAAGTTCCAGCCAAGACAAAAGTGTATGGCTGCCAGGGGAAGAGGGAGAATCACTAAAACCCCTTGTTCCTGTGGTTAGTGGCTTATCCTAAGCTGTAGATAGGTAGGGGAACCAGCGACCCCCATGCCTTCCCACAAACAGCACCAAATAGCAGACTGTGGCTATCTCCCACAAGGGCAGGACACAAAGGGACCCGCACAAAGCTCAGTATGGAACAGGACACTCAAAACCGCACTGGTGCCCTCTGCTCTACACTAAGCACAGCTTCAGGGATCAGAGAGCCTAAAGACACCAAGGGAATGACAGAACAACAGTCCAAACTGAGGTCAGCTACAGACAGATGGACCCCAGCCCAGTACTCATACTCAGCAAACTGAGGTTGGCTACAGACGGACCCCAGCCCTGTGCCCACACTCAGCAAACTAAGGTCTGCTACAGACGGACCCCAGCCCTGTGCCCACACTCAGCAAACTAAGGTCTGCTACAGACGGACCCCAGCCCTGTGCGCACACTCAGCAGGCCTACAAATGTAAATGCTGTTTAAGTTAGTGTCTACCATTCTACCCAGTGTGTGGCTTAAACAGAATACCACAGCACACACATAAAGGCAAGAAAAGTGGGGAAAGATTCACTGCCAAGGAATAAAGCAACCCACAGAACAAAACTCAAGAATGACCCAGAGGTTGGGACCATCAGATGTGGAGGCTGCATAAAGAATACAGTACAGTTTACAGTGAAAAGACCACACACTGGGACAGACTGGGAATCTCAGGAAAGATGTGCAAAAGAACCAGTGAACTAGGCATAGCGCTACATGTCTGTAATTTAACAAAAAGTTAGAGGCAGGAGAATTAGAAATTTAACGACAGCCTTGGGTACACAAAGTTTGAGGTCAGCCTTGTATCAAAAACTTAAGACTGCTCATGCAGAGGATCCAAGTTCAGTTCCCAGCACCCATGTCACATGGTTCACACTGCCTGTTAAGTCTAGCTCCACTGGGCCTGAAGCCTTCTTCTGGCTTCCACTGGCATTGCACTCATGTGCACGCATGTGGGGTGTAGGGGAAGGCTATACACACATACACACACACACCCCTAAAAATAAAGACGTAATAAAAAATGTAAAATAAAAAAATTAGATACTATCCGGGAAGAAGTATCCGTTTGATTTATCTGCAGACTAACTTCAGTGGTGAAAGAATCAATAAACTTGAAAACACGTTAATAAAACGTATTATCCAAAATGAAACAGAGAGGACGAACCCAACAGACAAAAAGAGCACCTAACAGCCACAGAGGGCATCAAGTGCGTAACGCACGTGCACATGTCTGGAACGAGAAAGGAGACGAGTGGAAGAGTCATTTGATGAGAACTTTCCAAAGCCAATTAAAAAAGGGTACCACAGATCTAAGAATCTCAGAAAACTCAAGTCAAAAGTAAACCAAACGAAAGCTGGGCATGGTGGCACATGCCTTTGATTTCAGCACACAGGAGGCGGAGGCAGGCAAGTCTCTGAGTTCAGACCTCCCTGGTCTACAGAGTGAGTACTGGGACAGCCAAGGCTACACAGAGCTTGTCTTGACAAACAAAAAATGAAAAAAAGGATTCTCAGTACCTACCCCTCCAGTCACTCAGGGATCTCTCTGACCTCCCAAATTGTGAGCTGTCTGTAGCTAATCTCTTGGAAGTGTTTGCCTTATCCGTAGGATAAGAAGCATGTGACTGAGTTACCTAAAGCGCCTCCCTCTGATAGAGGAAGCTTTAGGATTTGTTTCTCTGGTATTACATCTACTTCTCTCTGAGGAGCAGTGAGGTAAGTTACAGAGCTGGCCTCTGAAGATGGAATGCCATCTTGCTTGGCCCAGCAATCCACACAGGCAGAGAGCAAAGCTCTGTGGACCATGAGGAATAAGCAGGCACACTGGGCATCACTGACCACAGACTTTAAAACAGAAAGCTGGATCAGTTACTATTGTTAATAAAAGGAATCTCAGTTGCTAAAAGGATTTAAAACTGGGAAACTTGGGTTTGAGTCTTGGCTGTGGTACTTACTGAGGTAAATGACTTTATCTTTAGGGCTTCTTTCCTTCCTTCCTTCCTTCTTCCCTATCTCCCTTCCTCCCTTCCTTCCTCTCTCTCTCTCTCTCTCTCTCTCTCTCTCTCTTTCTCTCTCTCTCTCTCTTTCTTTCTTTCAAGACAGAATCCTACTATGCAGCTAAGGCAAGCTTTAAGATAAACACACTGTGTAGACAATGTCCAGGTTAGAACCTGTAAAGGATTGGTTAAAATAAACCTGACTCAGTTGCACAGTTAGGCTTTATGATAACTGAACTGTGTCCCCCAAAAGGACAGATTCAGATCCTACTACTAGGGGTCTTTATACACGTCATCAGGTTAGGGTGACGTTCTAATGGGTTAGAGAAGGTTTAAGCCCAGTGGTGTGCGCCTTCATAATGAGACCCACAGAAACATGGATCCACATAGGGGGAAGACATGGAAACATGGAGGAGGGTGTGAAACAGCTACAGGTCAGTGATGTCAGAGGTGGTGAGTGAGAGTCTGAGTCTGAATGCTCCCTGGAGACGATGCTTTTATCCCTTGTCCCTAGCTGGCAGTGCAATCTGGGAAGGCTGCAGAACATTTAGAAGACAGACAGGCCTAGCTAGCTGACTAGGGGTGGGCAGTTGAAGGTTATATATTACCCCAATCCCTGGCTACAGTCCCTCTATCACCTGTCCTATCACCACGTGAACAGTCTCTGCCATCCTTCCTTGTCATGACAGACAGGGCCTCCTAAAGCCGTGAACCAGAACCATAAACAGTTCCTCCTGGAAGATGTTTCTAATGCATATTTGGTTAAAATGATGCAAAAGTAACACAGAAAATTTGTACTAGGGAAGTGGGGGTCACTAGTGTGTATGGGGTCACTGGTGTATGTGTGTGATCACTGCTGTGTGTGTGTCACTGCTGTGTGTGTATTGGTCACTGGTGTGTGTTGGTCACTGGGTGTCTGTTAGTCACTGGTGTGTGTGTGGTCACTGGTGTGTATGTGTGGTCACTGCTTTGTGTGTG